CATGCTTCATTTCTGTGAACAGCGACGTGAACGACCCCTGGTACTCACAGCACAGCGCCAGTGTTTTTCCTCTTGATTCTGAAGTGCGAGGAGTCACCCACAAACTCCACGTCGTAGCTGGCCTCATCGGCGGTAACGCCAGGGGAGTCGATCTTGAGTGGGACTTCAAACCGCTGTCTGTTGGGGTGCTTGCTGCAAGGCAAGGAGGAGGCAGGTTAGCTCATTTGTTAGCATGCCTTGCTTTGGTTAATTGATTCCCACTGCCCCAAACACTCACCCTGAACCAGAGTTTGTCCCTTGTCTGGAACTCCACTTCCAAGATTTACCGGGGAACCACCATTTCCGAAGAGGGACAAGGCCTGGTACTTGTTCAGTGTTACCCTGCAGTGGAAGCACGTGCTGGTGCCCACCGCAATCGCCTGCTGCCTGCGACCACGCTGGCATGGCCTCAGGGGAACAACTCGGCTATTCTACGTCAGCTCTTTAAAAATATATTGTTGACTTATCAAAAGAAATAATCTCTAAGGTTAGCTTAGGCTCTCCTTACTGTTAATGGATAAGACAGGTGCTACTGGAGCAAGGAGACCTCATGGTCAGCTCCCACGGTGGGAGGGACCACCCCACGCCAATGCCCGATTTCCTCACCAGCGGCGTGGTGTGAGCGCAGGACCCCAGCTCTCTGTGGCTTACGTGCAGGGAAATAGATCCGCTATCCGCCTTGTCACAAGCTGAGCATGCAGGAGCCATGCAGCTTGGGGAAGGTCTCCAGTGAGCTGCCCCCAGAGTGGCCATGTTAGTCACCGTGCAAGGCCCGACTGCAGGAGCCACGCAGGTTTACCTCCAGCCTTCGTCCATCTCCTCCGTGTTCCCGCCCAGGGAGCAGCCGCAGGGGAAGCAGCGGCAGGGAGCGTTGGCCATGTCGGTGGCACAGAGGGTGCAGCCCTGCGCCTCGCAAGCCTCCTGGGAAGGGCCCAGCTGGGGCTGGCAGTCGATGAGCTTCTGCTCCGCCACGGCCCCAGCATGCTGCCTGGCCTAGGGCACAGGGAAAATGCAGTCAGAGCAGCAGAGAACCATGCTAAAAAAACAACAAAAACAAACACACAAAACACACAAACAAAACCACCACAACACAGCACCACACCAATGCAAACTTCTTTAGTTATTCCTTTTTTGTTGTGTTTTTTCCCTATTTTGGGGCTAATATGCATGATTCTTTTGACCAAGGTGATGGCAGAGCCACGTGCCGGCTCGTGACCAAGAGAAGAGCAACCGGTTTCTTTCAGAAGCCGAGGCAGTGGGGTCTGTGTTGCTCAGTGCTCAGAGCTGCTGGTGCTCAGCTGAAGCATGACTTGCTTGAAAGACTCATGGAAAGTTAAATAGCAGGCTGATGAAGCTGCTGGTGAAGCGTGAGAGCAATACTTCAGGCTAGCTGAACAGGAGGTGTACTTCAATAAGGACTAAAACCATTACCGATATTAAAACGCTACATTTTCTGTATACTTATTCTCTTTCATGTTATACACAGAGGTTATCTATATATACATAAATACAAATATGTGAAATCAACATGTGCCTGTACGATAAATATAAATATAAAAATGCTGATTATCTGTCTGTTCATATTGGCTTTTATTTCTATATCATATGACTAATACATATATGTAGTAGTAGTAGTTTTTGATAATACAGGTATGGTAATAAGTAAAGGGAAGATGCTGGCAGTAAAAGAAAAAGCACAAATTAGTCATTTACAGAATCATCCTGATCATCCTGACAAAAACCTCTTAGTAAGGCGCTAAATCTTTTCCTTTTCGCAGCTGGAGGTCGAGCCCTGTGGTTGCCCGCGTGGAGCAAGCCTCCTGAGAGCAGGGGGACCGCGAGACCGGCTCCCTGACGTGCTGACAAAATGCTCTGTTATCAAATATTCTTAAAGAGAGCAGGCATACCACAGGCAGCACACTTGTTTTGAAGTTAACTTACATCATTTTAGTCATTACAGCAATATTCAGAGATTAAATCTACTTGAACGATAATTGCTCTTTTCCATAAAATGACTAATACCTCTGCTTTAAATTTATTTTTAACATGGACTGTTGTGTGCTTGAAAGCTTAAAACATGATTGCTGATGCAGTTTGAGCTTCTCCGTATAAAGAACTTTACAAGCAGATGTGCACAAGCAATAGTTACATGTACACTGGGAAAAATTACAGAATAAAACTGTAGATTCACTAGAAAATGCCATCACACTGCAATGCCAGAGCTGATTTCCAAGTAGGGGATGGTAATGTGGAAAAACAGGAGCCGAGTGCCATCTACATTTGTCTTTTGAGAAAACTCATCCCTGCTTTGATGCGGGAGCGTCTGACACTCGGGTCTGATGCTCCCGGGATGCACAGAAGAGATTGCCCCTCACTGTCACAACACCTTGTATCACCTTCTAAAGGCAAGAATTAACAGGAGAAATCCTGTTAAGCTTTGCCTGCTGCCAGACAGGCAGGCTTGGCTTCAACCTTTGTTTTGTGGGGTGGGCAGTCATGCCCTGCAGATTGGATACTTTCTGTCCAGAATTCACCCTCCCATGATCTGTCACATAGGGAAGCCCTAAATTCTGATCCTCTTTTTCATCCAAGACATAATAGGAATATGAACATCCCTCTGCAATCCCTAGATTATTTCTTCTTGGAGCAAAAATCAGGGAATATTCATCAATGACCTAACAAAACACTGAAGACTGGGCTGAGTGGGTAAAGCCTTACCTTTTTGTACTCTGTCCCTGCTGCAGATGTGGGAAAGACAGACAGATTGCAAGTCCCATGGAAATAACTGTCCTGCATTTGTGCTGCTATGCACTGAATAGTCCTGCTTATTGAAGGAGGTGGAAGGATTTCAAAGGCTTCCAACAGCCCTCTATATCCTGAGGTCCTTAAACCTGTGCAACCGCAGAGGCTAAAAAAATGCTGTACCAAGCACCACCTCTGCAGTCAATGCGTGGCTTCTGTGTCCCACAGCTTCGCACTGCTGTGCCTTGCGTGCTCAAGTTAACGCCTTGGCAGAGAAAGTACAAAATAGAGTAAACCCCGCACATTTCATTTAGTTTTGTTTTGTTTTTTGTTTTTTTTGGTTTTTTTTCCCTAATGGGAGTCAAATGCAGCATCAGTGTTTTCATTGCTGAAATCAAAGAACATGACTGAATATACTACAGCAGATTATTAACTTGGCATCATTTTACATAGCATAGGTTCACAGGAGACTTTTAACTCATTTGTATAATAAAATACTTTCAAAATACTTCATAAGAAGGATACTGAGAATGAAAAAGCTAGTTCAAGGGGGAAAAAAAACCTGCCCCAGCAGGACCCCAGAAATTTAACTCCCCCCTGCCCCTAATGTGAAGCTTAAATTTTCCAGCAAATTTTGAAAACAAGCACTCGCAGGTATGAGCAGCTGAACAAGGCTGCAACCTTGTTCATCCCTTGTTCCTGGATTTACTTCTATTATACTACAAATGGGGTAGTAGCAAGTGGGAAGATACAATTTTCCTTCCCTACTTTTTAAAAACATTTTAATTTTTAAATCTCTGCATAATTTTTACTGCATTTATAGCCCAGGTCTGTAAACATACATAGAAGATGAAATGCAAACGAGCAGTTGAATATAGCAACAGCTATGGCTACTTGCTGCTTTTCCATGATAATTTCCATGGGAACAGAAGCTAAAGCAAGGTAGTTTGAAAGATACATGTGAAAAATTATCCCCAGTGATTTTTAAAAACCTTGACTTCAATTTTGTGACATTAGATCAGAAAATGCTGCAATAAGGCATAAGCAAGGAATTAAAGTATTACCACACACCTTGTAATTTAATAGTATTAGTCTTTACATTTCGGGTTCATCCATACGTTTCAAAGGCATCTGCTGCAGAGGTTCCCTCTTCCTTTAATCTAGCACCGCAGTAAGATGTATTCTCCCTTTATTAGACTTTGGACTGAATTAGCCTATGGTATACTGGAGTAAAAATCACAGAAAACAAAGCAACAAAGCACAGGGTAACTTTCAGCAGTCGAATGGTCCCATTGACTCCAGCGTGCCTGTGCTGGTGCCCAAGAGCTGAATATACCGTTGGACTGGGGTATACTTCTAAACAAGCCAGCCCGGTTGTCTTCCCACAGAGTCACCTCAGGCGGAGTTAAAGCTGTGCCCATTCTCTCCTTCTCCATGTAAAAGGATCACGTCCCCAACAGCTCTTCCATTACATGTGTATCTTGTATTTTATCACAGGCTTCAAAAGCAAGTGCCATACATTTACCTGCTCGCACAACAGCCAAGAAACACAGGCTCCTGATCCTCTCCGTGGTCGAAGGCCGATTTCTGCAGGTAGCATGGAGCCTTTTGTATACAAGGCAGGGGCACAGTAAGCATTGTTCTCGCTCGGAGTTGTGATATGGTCCCAAATCTTTCATGTGTACACCCCTTGAGTAGTCAAAAAGCCTGACAGATAAACACTGTTGGTATTGCTGCTGTTTATTTTAAGGAACAACGTATAGGTTAGTTAACAATACGCATCATTACTCGTTTCTGTCAAAATTTGGAATAAATCAGTAACCTCAAATCGCAAGCAGTATGCATTTTCATCTCCTCTCAAGCTGAGAAGGAAATAATTCCTCTAAGACCAGTAGGAGGCAACAGAACTTTTCTTTGTTTGACAGACCACATGTAGTAAGGTAAGAACTGTCATCTCTTAGGAACAGGAGCCATCTGCTTCATTTTAAGTCTGTGCTGTACTTAGTATGAGGGAATCCTACTAAGGTTCCTAAGTACTGTCAAAACACAAATAACGGCCAACGAGAACACAGATGTGGGATACCAGAACAACCTATGGGCTATATTACTCAGCAAGCTATTCTACTGCATTGTGTAAAATGTTGCATTTTACATTCCGGGCCTTTGCAAGGGAAGCGAATTTTTTATAAGGAAGTATGATGAAAAAGGCAAAGAGGAGTAGTTCACATTCACATCTTTATTTAAATGTTACCTATATAAGCTACAATTTACAGACAGATATTTTCTGGAAAAAAACAACCAACCAAAAAACCTCAATATCCAAACACTGTACCTAAATCTACATAATTTTTTAAAATTTGCAGAATTTACAAATTAATATTCAGAGCAGTTGGGTAAATTATACATCTTCCCTCAATATCCACACTCTAAGAGCTTTAAAAGTCATACAGGCACAAGATAAGATATTTCCTTTGTACAACCATCTATTTACATAGCATTTTCCAGTACAACATGTGGTTCAGTTCTCAAAGTAACTGCAAGGTTTGCAAAACAGTGTATTTAAAATACATTTAGCAGCATATAAAATTAGATAAAAAGGAAAGACATTTTGCTTTAAAAAAGAAAATGTGAGATGATAGAAACAAATCCATAAGAAAAAATAGATTAAGATATATTTCTGTCATGACATTAAGAACACGTAGTCATTACAGAATATAGGCAAAACACTAATAAAACATACCAATTTCTGAGCATTTGAGTTCTAGTCCTGAGCACAGAGTATACATAGCTGCACAACTTTGGTCAACAAGTATTATATGCTAACATTAACACAAATCATATGGCATTCATTGTTAGCGGGATACAGCCATGTCAGATAGATGTGACATCAACAGCTTCTTCCCATCTTTTTTTCACTCCACTTTCCTAACAACAGTGTAAGTGACCTTTAGAATCTTGAAACTGCCTGTCGTAATCAAAGGCTTGTTACTGGGACATCATCATTCCCCTGCTACCCTAAAATGCAAAACAGCTGATCGTACTTGTGAGTGAAATACAGCAGAGCACTTTTGTTATATATTCCAGGTTATAATTTTGAGATGGTCATTAGAGAAGACTGATTTCCAGTTAATTTAAACTGCAAGTGTTACATATGCACACAAATTCAGCCATAATATCTAGACATATATATGTGACCACTGAGACACAAGCATGTTACCAAGAGGTTATTTTTCTTAAATACAGTACATATTTTAAGGACAGCAGGTCTAGTAGAAGTGTTCACACTTATTTCTCAGTTCATTCCAGTCAACAGTGTTTACCTAATAAGCATGCAGCAAACTGCATAGAGTGCACCTCAAATTCACCAATATATTCATTTATCCCCATCATTTCAATTACTGGCAAGATCTTCACTTGGATCTCCTGTATCTGAGATCTGTCCATCTATTACATTTCGAGCTTTCCAGATCCTCACAGTCCTGTCACTGGAAAAGAAAACAAAGCTGAATTAGAGCTAGGTAATTAAGTTAGTGGGGGAGAGAGATGGGGGGATGGGGGGAACACGAGGATGAGTGGGGAAGTAGGATGATGGGGAAGCTTTTTTAAATCTCGGGTGTCTTCTTCAGAAAGGCATTGTTGGCATATTAAGATTTCCTTAATGGATATGCAAGGGTTATTCCACCTCCAAGAGACTTTGTAATCTAAGATGTACAACATTTAAGATTCCCTAGCCTTCTCACAGCACTCGCTACTACCTTTAAACATCTAGGCAAATATAAAGATTATATGTCTAAAGGAAAGTAAAATCCTACTCTACTATTACTTAATTTTTTAAAATACAGCTAGTGGTCATAGGCTTAAGTAGACTGACATCAGAGAACAGCTTTCATCATGTAAATATTTGCAACTCAAACCACAGGCAAACAGCCAGTGCACTACAGAATTAGGAGAGGCAGACTCAATAGGACAAGACTGTTTCCTGCCATTTAAAAAATGAGAAAAATTATAACAGGTTAAATCAAACAGGACCTGAAACGTGCTCCATTTGCATTAGAGGTGTCAGTCCATAATACCACAAGACGACACAAAGTCCTAAACCACCCACTCCCCCCAGCCACCCTTTGTCAGGTGCTGGAAAGTGTATACCAGTGAGCTGGTGTGCAGAAGCCCAGTACAGGTAAGCTATAATTCTGTACTTTTGGCAACAATCACTATTTACACAGTTTTAAATTATGTGTAAGTTAAGTATCAATTGGAATGTGTTACAAAACTCTATTACCATAAATAAAGAGTAAAATAAAGAATTAGCCTTGTTAAATAGCAATTTATGCTGTGAAAGAAGTTATGAATTTCCCATAAACATTGAGTTGTGTGACTAGCAAACATTGACTCATGTATCCCTTATAAGCCCCTCAAAAAAAAAAACCAGGAGGCAGCTGTCCAGTCAGGACAGACTTTACCACACTACAGAGGTTTTCTGACTTGTGCCTTAAATTCACTGTAAACTGCCAGGAATGCTCTAAGTTCTGTAGATCTTCACCACAATCTTGAAAGTGCCGAAAGGCTGGGATTTTCTTTTGCTAGTAATAAAGAATAAATTTCAGGTGCACATATGTTCTAAACTCATTAATAATCTTTAGACAAACAGACATAAGCTTCGATGTCTCTACCCCATCTATTAATGCTTTAACATAAGAATTGGCCACCAAACATGGACACTTGGCAACTTTGAAATCCTGCTAAGATTCAGAAAGGCCTGCTTTCAATTCAGAAGGCCAGAAGTTTCCACAATTGGTACTAAAAGATAACACGACAGCTTTCACAGCTCCTGTGCTCAGACTACACAACTAAACGGGCTCTGCTGCCGTCTCCTGCATTTTCTGCAGAATGAGGTATTTTTCTTGGTCAAGCCCCCTGAGATTTCAGGTACTCAATTTGCTCACTTTTACTGAGGAAGCAAATATTCAAATCAAGGTGTTTAAAGGACAGTAGGATGGCTTGCAAAGCTTCTGCTATACACTAGCATTTAAAAACAGGAAAAAGCCAAAACAAATCACACAAACAAATGACAAAACACAACCACATACCATGGCTTTTAGAAAAATTCCCACAAGTCAGGAACCAGTCCTAACCGTAAATAGCCCAGCTGTAGAGACAAGCTGGCAAAGTTCTCAACTATTGCCAAATTCTCCCTGCCATCCTGTAGATCAGTGGTCTCCAAACTTTTTTGATCATGCACCCCACCACTAAAAAAGTTTGAGTCACATCCCCATGCATATTTTTTAATTTATAAATTATATACAGGTACTACTGAAATCCTAATATTTTCTTCCTGCACCCGCACCCCAATGGATCATGTTGTGCATCCCCTGGGGTGCATGCACCCCACTTTGGAAATCATTGCAGTAGGTTGTTAGCATTTAGGGGCATGGATCAGGTCTCCCCATGTTTGCTATCAATTGACTTACACAACGAAGATCTAAATGCATTTGCATGGACAGAATTCTAGCAGGAGCTATGGAAAAGAAAGATCCACGGAGAAGAAAAACTCACTCTGCTGCTGTGAAAATCTGGCTGGAGTTGGTGCAGATTGCATTTATAGGGCTGTCATGTCCCTTCATCTCCCCAATGAGTGCGAAGGTATCCACATTCCAGAGCTTGAGGGTGCCTCCTCTGCAGCCGCTGAGCAGAACCGGAGCAGCAGGTACCAGGCCAAGCGCACACACCCAGTCTTTATGAGCATTAGGAACTTGCTGAAAAAGAGAAGGTAGGCAAGTCTCACACTGCTACAAAAATATCTAGAGGAACAAGCAGAGAAATGGAAAAATTCCAAGTTTTAAGTCCGATTTCTGTCCTGCAGTAGATTTTCTACATGACTCTGGGTATCCCCCAGCCCTGTGGCTTCACCTTTAGAGCCAGGAGGGCACTATCGTTCATGAGGATACTTCTATACCATGAGTTTGTTCCTCTTTGTGAAATAGTACTGCAAAACTAAAAAAGAAAATCCAGTATGCACCATTGACCTGATGTAGAACAGAAGTTAATGTAGGATAATGCTAAATCCGCATATGTTCAAATGCATATTTGAATGCATATTTGAACATATGGCTTCTGTATATGTTTCATGTCTATCTGTGAAACAGCTATAAAACACATAAAAAGAAAATCCAAAATACTGCTCAAAAAATACACCAGGGAGACAGAAATTGTGTCTATATTTGCTTTCCTCCTTTTCCCATTACACATTCTAAATTGATTTTGTGATGTAGCACTTAAAAATACATTAATTCTTTATCGAGAATAGACACTAGCATTTTACTGCTAGTTCAGAAAGCAAAATCCTGCTCAGACCGGCTGAGAACAATACCCATTTGGTATAAACGCTGGGGAAATAATAGCCCAAGTTTGCTGTTTTTAAAGGGACCAAGAGTGGCTCTTCTCCAGTTCAGTTTGGTAGGAACAGCTTTGTTTTGCTGCCTTTCTCACATTACAGAGTACATTCAGCTTTCCAGGATCATCTTGGCGTTTTATCTATAATATATACTGCTATCACAGCGCTGGTGGTCCAGTCCTGCAGCACTTCATGAAACTGGGAGGGGGAGTGGTTCTTATAAATCTTCATTTTGTCACAGCAGTGTTTTGTGGCTTGGGTCGTATAACACCAAGTGAAGTAGATGATCTCCAAATTCTTTTGGATAGCATGTTTGTTAAGTGATTTTCATCAGTTATAGAGGATCAGACTTGTTTAACATATGTAGGTCAAACCAGGACCTCTGTTGAAACATTAGCATTTATACTTTAAAGCAGCTCAGCTCTGTTTCAGGTTTAATTTTTTTTCCTTCATCTAAAATAGCCAAGTGTACACACCAAAAGAAAGTTGCAAGAACAGAAATTCTGTCTGGATGTGAGAGGGGGGGAAATTCATACAAGAGTAGTTTAAAGAGTGCAATGGTCACCCAGAGCAGCTATGCAATCTGTGACCTTGGAGTTGAAAAACTCAGCTGGGCAAGCCCTTGAGTAACCAGACCTAACTATAAAGTTGGCCTTGCTTGGACCAGCAGGCCCACTTTGCACTGTGTGACCTCCAGTGGGCTCCTTCACCCTGAATTACCCCATGATTAGCCAAAGTAACAGCACTTTTCTTCATTCCCTAACAAGAGAGTGAATAAAAATTATTTATATTGTTTTGTCAAATGCTTTAGTCTCACCTCCTTGAAAATCACAGAACATTTTATAGAAATAAAAAGAAAGAAGTAAGCATAAGATTATTTTTATTAAGTTCCACTTTTAAAAGCAACAAGCAGGGGAACATGAAGCATAGAAATTATGAAATGCACATATACCAAAAGGAAATAAGAAAAGGAATACTAGCCCACTGTTACATATTGCTTCACCCCTGTCCCCGTATTCTTTCTGATGTTAAATTAATTGCAATAGCAAAAATGCATTTTGCATAATATTTTAATGAGCGTAAAATGCAAGAGTGAAGATGCTTCTTACAAGTTTATTAAAGTCATTCTGAGAATACAAAATCTTTCCTGTGCCTGTTGTCCTCCTATTTTTGCTAAGAAGCTGCTTAGTACGTTTCTGTACACAGACAGACATAAGGGCAGATGTCCCAATACGGTCAAGTGAAGGTTTTCTGTAAGAAGCTGATTTTCTGAATCCTTATTTTAACTGTGAAGTCCTAGTAGTATTCTCAAAAGCAACTGGCACTCAATTGAACAATTTTGAAAAAAGGTCAAGAAAGTTTGCATATTTATGGAAAACTAAGTATTTCCATACAGAAATTTTCTTCTTAAGGTGACCTATCTATGACCCAAAACTCTAATATTCTATTTGTTTCCTTGCTATCAGTCCACACATTAAATGCACATAAAAGACATGCTGCTTCTCCCTCCAAAATTATTAAATGATTGGTATATAACCAAACCTTTGCAAACACAGCAGTATCTTCTGGCATTTGCTTTTCTGTCTTCCATTTCTCACAGAGTCTCAACTTAAATAATTATATCTTTACATCAACAACCTCTCATAAGACATAAAAGAACAGATTGGCTTACAGCAAGTAGCCAAAAATCAAAGTCCTCCATGTCAAACAAATTACAATGAACTTCAAAGTTTCCCTGAATTTGAGGTTCTTTTTTGCCCCCTCCCTCCCCCTTTTCTTTTTAACAATGAAAACTTACAGCAAATATGTTCTAACAGCACACAGATTATTATGTGTGTGTTGTATACATTATATAACACATGCATTGTGTAACAAGATGAATGTAGATCTAAAGAGTAAGCTTTTTTAGAAAAAAGACTGGGTCGAGTGAGGTAGATTGTAAACCCTCTTCAAAAGAAAATACTCTGTAGCCTGATCAGAAGCATTGTTTGCCACTGAGTTCCCAGTTTATCAACTTGCCAATGACAACGATGAAATCCAATGGTTCCAACCACAAGGAAGACAAAAAAAAAACCACAACAAAATCCACACACTCTGAGCTAACCACTTCATCAGAATTTCCTGATGCTACATACACTGAAAAGAAAAGCAACTGTGTTCCCAGTGTAAAGATCAAGTACATTATCGATTTCTTAGTCAGTGGTCTGTGCCTTCCCTGTTAAAAACAGTATCTAAGTGAAGAGTCATTGTACAAGCCCGAACATTTACACAGCCTGAAAACAGTTCTACAGTATGACTATCACATTAGCCACATGATGTTTTCCCATTACCTGAAGGAGGTCTTTTTGAGCCAAATCCCATTTCTTAATTCCATTATCTCTGGATCCACTAAAAAGGTTGTCTCCCATAATAGCAAGTGCTTCAATACCATCATAATGAGGAGGTTCAAAATTGTGCGTAGGACTTACACTTCCAAGAGCCCCTTCAGTCACATCAAACATCTAAAATAAATACATAAATAAATGATCAAATATGTTAAGCAAAATTATGTGCCATCTAATGAGCTTGGAAGACAGCAAATAACTTCAGGGGGAAAACTTAGAAAGTCTTATTAGAGGCCACTGTATCATGATATATATTTGACAGAATTTATCTACCAGAACTGCTCCTTTCTCCTCTTCTGCCTCTTGCCTGAAGCAGGAATTCTTCTCTGACTTCAGAGAAGACTGCTTTGGGAAGAAGTGCTACTACTTGATTATGAAATACACAGTATCTTCACAAGGAAGAGCCTATAAATACATTGAGTGGTGGGCTACAGAAACAAAGTTCATGACTGAGTATGGGAAACATGACTCACAGTGGGAGAATTGCACACACAGCTGCAGGAAGAGGCATTAATACACTTTTCTGGACAAGGTGTTTTGGCAAGGGTTATGTACACTTGCATGCTGATACTTTCCATGGACTAGACACACCTCTCTCCTTGCCTGTGCTCCAAGAATGGAGTCTTAAAACAGATTCTTTAAGTCAGGGCATTTTAACGATTTAAGGCATAATCAACCCCATCAGGTCTTTGTTCCTAGAGCAGCAGTGTAAGTAACCCTGTCTCATTTTGCATTGTAGCAAGCCAGAGTTCACCCAGTTAGACTGAGCTGAGGAACAGATGAGCCGTAACTTTTTAAACCACTACCTCTGTTTCACAAGCAAATGTCAGACTTCATCCCCTATTATTTGCTCTTCATTGACCTTTTAAAATGAAAAAGCTTGGCAGTAAAAAAGTGACAGCTTGGTAGTGTAAAAGAATACTTTAAGTGAACTAAAGGTATTTTAAAAGTTACCGCATTCAATTAACATGCATCAGTTCCAGTTGTAACAAAAAGTTCAATGATACACCAGAAAAATCAGACACTTTGACAGAGATGACTAATATTCCTGGTTCAGTAGACAAGACAGTAGTTTCCTGTGGCAGGGCAAAGCAGGACCTGTGACCAGACCTACTACCCTGAGAGGACCTACCTATGCAGAGAAGCACTGAGAATTCCCAAACTGCTGCACTGACCATGCGCATACAGACCATTTGCACTATCCAATGTGGCTTGACAATTCTGGAGGCCTTCATCTTGCAGAACATCCACTACTCTGCAGCGCATACTCATGGCCAAAATATCCCTGGGTATTCTAGTGGTGTAAATCAAGAGGCAGGTGGCCTTATAAGGATTTATGTAGCCCATGCACAGCAAAGGAGCACACAAGCATGGCAAATAAACTTCTCTGACTGTTGACAGCTATGTTTTCCAAAAGCCCTTCCAAATCCTTGCTTGTCACATGAGTTGGTAGCATGACAAACTTGCATGATATGATCACATCCTGTTGTCTCCACTGAGGTCCCACACTCGTTACTGTGCCAGGATGGTAGCTCTTAACTAACTCAATATTCCAAACTGTGCAGAGAAGTAATTATTAGAGTGCCCCTCTCTGTCACCCTACTGCCTAAGAATCCTCTGACCTCTAACCGTAGAGACTGCTTATAGGATTCAAATCCATGCCCAAACCATCAAGTTATGCACCCATCTCCCAGGCAGTCTTTCTGAGGCTGGTCCAGTGCACAACCAAGCACCCAAGAGTTGCAGGATAACATCAAAGAGAAAGCCCACTCAGGTTCTGGCTCCTGTTCCACTCCCAGCTATATTTATACGCTTCCTCCAGTGTGCGAGAAGTACAAGACCAGAACGAAGGGTACTCCTTCATAACAAGGTCTCTTGTTCATTCTCTTTGGCCTGATGAATCACATGTTCTTTGCAGCATAAGGGTCAGCTTTATGGGGAAGATGATGTACAGTTCCCATGGTCTGGTGATTTGGGCACAGTCCTGAGAAAGAGGGGCTTGTGGGTTCAAATACTCCTTGGCTGAGGTGGGCCAAAAAAAAAGAAAAAAGGAAAGAAAAAGAAAAGAAAAAAGAAACAAACCAGAATTCCTCCTCCCCCAAAAAACAGATTCCCTGTCCTTAAGTGAATTAAGGAATGCCAAGAAGCAGGCAAGTATCATAACGCCACTGGCTATGCTTTGAACACAACTCCAAGCAACCTGCGTGCTAACGAATACACCAAGTAGATTGGGCACCTTGGCTGAGATGTGCTGACCCCTCTCTCCTTCCCCACTTCAGAACTTGGGTACCACTCAAGCAAGAGCCTGGGCTAGAACCCAGACACTCTTCTGTCGGGTGCAGACAGAGCATCTCTGCTGAAGCAATTAGGTCTGCATTCCAAAACAGAGGCAGTGACTTAAGACACTGTCAAGAGCTCAATGTTACATAAGAGCAGGTGTTAAGAATATTTCTCTAAGACCTCATACATCTGATGTCCACCTTACTGGGGTGTCC